CCACGCGGACTCCCCCTCTCCGCTGGCCCGGTGGGAGCTCCGTCCACGCGGACTCCCCCTCTCCCCTGGCCCGGTGGGAGTCCCGTCCACGCGGGCCCCCCCCTCCCCTGGCCCGGTGGGAGCCCCGACCACGCGGGCCTCCCTCCCCGCGCAGTGGGTCGAGCCCCTGTGGGCCCTCGTTGGGGGTCGTGCGGATGCAGACGCATTGGCAGGAACTGTGTACACGGGGACCCGAAGCGGGTCCCAGCCTTCTAGGAACTTGGTTGGCTGTTCATTCGGTTCGGTGGACTTTTCCTCGGAAGCAGAGCGCTGTGCTGGAGCTTCCTGTCCATGCGTGGGCGAGGCTGAGCGCCTTTAGTAGAACCGGGCGAGTTTGCGGAGGAGTCCACGCGGGGAACCCCCGGTTCCCTAACCCTGCCCTTCAGCTCAGCCCCCTCCCACTCTCTGCTCCTGTGAGAGCAGCATGGAGCACGAAGACGTGTACCTTCCAGCATGTTCTAAGCTGGATGCTGCAGGGTCCAGGCTCCCCAGCACTTGATCCACACCGCGAACTTGGTGCCGCACGACCCTCGTTCCCGCTCCCTGCTCCCCCGGGTGTGTTTGGGGTCCTCCTCTAAGTGGTGGCCGCTAGTGTCTGCCCTGCGTGTGGCCTGTCTCCCCGAGCACGCTGTCACCAGGCGATGGCCCATCGTGCACCCGCCGTGTGCTGTCAGGCATGCCGTCGGCGCACGTGCCGCTGTTTCCATGGGCGGCCGTCAACCCGGGGGCGCAGAGCTGGCTCGGGGCGCCGGTTCCATGTCCCCTGGGTGTGGAGGCACAGTGGAGCGCTGGATCGTAGAGTGACGCCGGAGACTAGGCAGCATGCTGGTCCCGAAGTGGTTTCTTCAAAGGAGGGATCTGAATGTTGGGGAAGACTACTGGAAGGGGGAGGAATTTGTAGACCCAGGCCGACGTGGAAGTGTTTCTATGAGTTTAGAACACTGTAGAGCTGTATTCAAATCAAGGCTTAAAATAACCCGTCTCGTGGCTGAACTGAGAAAGGAGGCCACTGACGTGCTTCCTCTGAGCCAGAAGGCTGCAGGCCGGCAGGGCTGGCCAGCTTGGCCCGGTGTGCAGCCCCGATTGTCCCGGGAAGGCAGGAAGGACCAGAGGGGTCGCCTCTGGGGGGCAAGAGAAGCTGGAAATCTGGACTTTTTTATGTGAACCCTGTGAACTTTGACAAAGTTGGCAACTAACTAAGTTTTGAAACTGGGAAGATCCAAGAAATGGTGCCTGTGGGCCCCTGGATGCAGCTGTTGCTGTGTTCTTAGTGTTTTTAGCAAAGGAAAGCACTTGGGATCTTGCAGGAGACGTGGAAGGCCAGATCTGAATTTGATGTACCGACCACACACCATCATTTTTGTTTCATTTTTATATGTGTATGCTCAAGAATGATACTTTAGCAATACCAGTGTTTTATTCACCTTAAAATTAATTGGGGCTTGACTCATGCTGGTCAGGAACCCAAGCTCTGGATGGAGACCCAGGCTTCCGTGTCCCCTTCACCACAAGCCCGGGGCCACGAAGATCGTGCTCGCCCACTGGGGAGTGCGGTTCTGGTTGTCGAGCTTGTTCTGTGTGTAATCATCCTCGTGTCGAGGACCTGAACTGTATTCTGTGAGGTAACTTTCAGGTGTGTTGTTGTGAAAACTTAATACAGTTGGCATCGGAGAGGCAGGAATTCAGTTTTGTGCTCCCCAAAGTTCTGAAATTTGGGGGAGCACAGCTGCCTGTAGAGAGGATCCCTGCCTTGCTGCAGCTTTTGGTTGAAGTGTGATTCTCGTGGCCCCGTGGAGCTTACCCAGTGAAAACAGAGGTCCTTGCTTGGTGAGATAGGCAATCACCAAAGTTCAATGTTATTTCAAGTACAATTTTGTTTATTATTTTCAAAATATTTTTTTTAAGATTTTTTAAATTTATTTGACAGAGAGAGACACACAGCGAGAGAAGGAACACAAGCAGGGGGAGCGGGAGAGGGAGAAGCAGACACCCTGCAGAGCAGGGAGCCCTACGTGGGGCCCGATCCCAGGACCCTGGGATCATGACCTGAGCCGAAGGCAGACGCTTAACGACTGAGCCACCCAGGCGCCCCATAAAAAAAGATTTTATTTTTTTTAAGTACTCTCTACACTCACTGTGAGGCTCAAACTCAAAATCCTAAGATCAAGAGTTGCATGCTCCACCGGTGGAGCCGGCCAGGTGCCCCTTCAGTACAATTTTAAAGTAGACTTTTATGCATGTTGTTTAAAGGGGTTTGTTTCAAAGCTTAAACCTAGAACACAAAAGCTATATTTTAGAAGTGGGCAGGATGTCTGTCCGTGTCAGTGAATTCATCATCGCAGCTTTCCTCATTAAAGGCATCCGAAGACAGCTGTCAGGTCCCCGGAGGCCCTGCCCCCGGACCATGTGGCCCAGGATGTGGTCTCTCCCACCATCAACGTCTCGTGCCAGAACGGTGCATGTATGACCGAGGCTGAGCCTACACTCATCACAACTACCCCACATCCATGGTTTAGGTTCGGTGGGGTTTTGACAAATGTATCACCGTTGCAGTGTCCTGCAGCGTCCTGTCACTGCCTGAGGCCCTCTGTGCCCCCTTTCTTCATGCCTCTCTCCCTCACATCTCTGGCAACCAGTCGTCTTCTCCCCCGGGCCCTCAGAGTTGGCTTCTCAGACTGGCGGCCACTTAGCAAGGTACGGCTAAGATTCCTCCGTGTCTTTTTCTGTCTTCATAGCTCACTGATTTTTATCCCTGAATGATATTCCATCGTGTGGAACGTAAGTATCTGTTTGTCCCTTCACCTTTCGAAGGACTCTGTTCTTCCCAGTCAGCTTAGAACAGCGCTCTGCACTTGCGGTAGGGCAGGGCAGCATGGCCACCCCGCCCCCTGCACCAGCCCCTGGCCCCGGGGTGGACGTGGCTTGTCTGTACGCCTTGGAAACCCTACCAGACAGGGTCGAACTTGCTTTCAGGCTGCCGTATAAAGAATGTAAGAGGAAAACAGTTTAGTGTGTATTTACCCAGATACTTATTTCGGGCGCTCTTGGTTTGTCCCTGATGTCACAAGTCTCCTCTGCTGTCCTCTCCCTTTGTCGGAAGAACATCCCTTTGGAGCAGGTCTCCCCATGACCAGTTCTTTTACTTTTCCTTCACCTGAAGATGTCTTTATTCTGCCTTTATTTCTGTAGGATCTGTTCGTGTCATAGAATCCTGGGTGGACAGCCATTTCCTTCAGCGTGTTCCCGATGTCCCTGCCCTCCGGCCCGCTGGTGTCTGGCGAGAGTTCTGGGCCCTGTGGTGGTGGTTCTCGGGCCCGTGGTCTGTTCTGTTTGGCTGGCTGCTTTCGAAATGCTCTTACTTTGTCTTCGGTTTTCAGCAGTTTGATTATGATCTGGGCAGGAGTTCTGTGAGTTTATTCTGTTTGAGGTTTGCTGAGCTTCTTGGGTGTGTAAGTTTACACCTTTCACTAGATTTGGGAAGTGGTCAGCTATTATTTCTTCAAAAAAATGTTTTCAGCTTCACACTTTTTTCTTTTGGGACTTCAGTGATACGGATGTCCAACTTTTTTATATTCTTCCACATTCCCTAAGCTCTGTTCATTTTGTTTTTGCACCTTTTTTCTGTTGTTCAGTTTGGGTAATTTCTACTGATCTGTGTTCATTTTATTACTCTACCTCTATCTTCTCCCATCTCCATTCGGATGGTGAGCCCATCCAGTGAATTTTTTATTTGTTATAATTTTTCTTTTTTTTTAAGATTTCATGTATTTATTTGATAGAGCTGAAGCCGGGCGAGTGGCAGAGGGAGAAGCAGACTCCCCCCTGAGCAGGGAGCCTGATGTGGGGCTCGACCCCAGGACCCCGGGATCATGACTTGAGCCGAAGGCAGACGCTTAACCGACTGAGCCAGCCAGGCACCCCTAATTTTTTCTTTTTAATTCTCAAATTTCCATTTGGCTGTAACTCCTGTTCTGTGCTGAGACTTTTTATCATTCCACTTGTTTCAAGAGTGTCTGGCTTCGTCCCTGAAGCCTGTTACACCAGCTGCTTTAAAGTCTCTGACGATTCATTTCAGAGTGGGCTTTTCTTGATTATTTTTTCTCTTGAGAATTGGCCAGACTTTCTTGCTTCTTTTTTTTAAATATTTTATTATGTTATGTTAATCACCATACCTTACATCATTAGCTTTTGGTGTAGTGTTCCACGATTCATTGTTTTCATATAACACCCAGTGCTCCACGCAGTACGTGCCCTCCTCAATACCCATCACCAGGCTAACCCACTCCCCCACCACCCTCCCCTCCAGAACCCTCAGTTTGTTTCTCAGAGTCCATCGTCTCTCATGGTTCGTTTTCCTGCTGCTTTTTATGTCAAAAGATTTTGGGTTGTATTCTGGATGCTTTGAATACTGTGTTGTGAGGCTCTGGGTCCTGTTTACATCTCAGAGGGAATGTAGCATTTCTGTTAGAGCAGGAAGGCAGCCCAGTTAGGTTCAGGCTGCAGGTTCTGAGCTCCTCCTCCTCTGGGCACGGTCCTGACATCAGCTCTGTTTTCAGAGCCTGCACAGTGCTCTTTGGAACTGACCTGTAGGGTCTGTTCTACACACCTTTGGTTTGCCATTTAGGGTCAGGCCCCCCACAGACAGTTGTGGGGTGACCCAGGTACCCCTTCCATACCCCCTTACTCTGCACAGTCTCCCGCATACTCTCTGGCCCCAGGTCCCCTTCCTCTGGCCAGAAACCTGCGGCTTTCCTGTGTCCTGTGTGCTGTGACACCTCAGCACTGGGTCTCCCTTGGGCGAGTGTCAGCATGGAGAGCAGCGGAATCCCCCAGTCTTTGGACCAGTGTGCCTCTAGTCCCTCAATATTAGGTGCCTGCTGGGCCACTACCATCACAGGATTTTGGCAGGGACTGCGGCTTGCTAGGAGGCAAAGTCAGTAAAAACAATAATAAAAGCAGGTCATTTCCCCCTCTTCTGTCTTGTGTGGGTTTCCCTTCCATTTCTGCAAACCAGAGACTGGACTTGTCTCCAGGTGCTTATTGTGCGCAGTTCTGGAATGCAGGCTTCCTGCAGTGAGGCCAGGGGACTCACTTTCAGAGGAGTCCACTTGGATCCTGGTCTCCTGCCCCATTCCCTGCTGTGTGACCACTGAGTTTTGGGGCCCACGTGCAGTGGCTCCGTGCGTTCTGTTCAGAGATTTTAGTTCTCACAGTGGAAAGATGGATGGATTGTCAGCATTCCATCTTTACCAGAACCAGCAGCGCTGGGATAGTCCTCTTGCTGTCGTTTTTGTCAGGAAGCAGCAGGCTCAGACTGAGGGATGGGTCTTGGCAGGTACTTCAAGGTGCAGGTACCTCCCCAGAGACCACCTGAGACCCTGTGCCCTGTCTGTGGTTTCCTCTAGGCTTGGGATCCTGGCGGACTGACACCCCTGGTTCTGGCGTCATCTTCAGCTGAGCCATGGCAACCCCGGATGTGAGTGTCCACATGGAGGAGGTGGTGGTGGTCACCACGCCAGACACCGCAGTGGACGGGAGTGGTGTGGAGGAGGTGAAGACTGTGCTGGTGACGACCAACCTGGCTCCTCACGGGTGAGACGGGGCCTCTGTCCTGTGAGGGCCACTCGGGCTCTGGCAGGTGTCCTAGGCATCGCATGGGGCTGGGGGGCAGGGGGGCGTCAGGAGTTTCCTTTACTTAAATACTCTTTTTTTTTTTTTTAAATATTTTTTTATTTATTTGAGAGAGAGAGCACAAGCAGGGGGAGGGCAGAGGCAGAGGGAGAAGCAGGCTCCCCACCGAGCAGGGAGCCCGATGTGGGACTCGATCCCAGGACCCCGGGACCATGACCTGAGCCGAAGGCAGACGCCTAGCCGACTGAGCCACCCAGGCATCCCCTTTACTTAAATGTTTGAAACTGAACTCAAGTGTCCGTGTCAATGGAGAATGTGAAGGAAAAATAGAAACCTCGCGTCAGCCAGGAAGCAAAGATAATGCTTCATCTTTGTTTTTTTCTCCCATGTCAACATGGTCACATGGTCTTCATTTCTGAAGATACGTGGTAATTTCTCCGAAGATAAGATGGACAGTAGGAGCAATCGGGGACTGTTTTCAAAGTGAAGTTGACATTCCTCACAAAAGCTGGGAATTTTTTCTTCTTCATTTCTCATAACAGACGAGCACATAGACTATTAATGGGCAAGGCTGCCGGGGTGGCTCAGTCGGGTAAGCGTGTGACTCTTGATGTCACTCAGGTCGTGATCTCAGAGTGGGGAGATCAAGCCCCGCGTCGGGCTCTGCGCTGGGTGTGGAGCCTGCTTGGGATTCTCCCCCACCACCCTTCCCTGCTGTCTCTCAAAAGAAAAGAGTATTTGTTGGCAAAGAAGTCCACGTTTGACTTGATAGAGCTGCCAGCACGTAGGTGACGGAGTAGGTCACCCTGGGCAGGGGCTGGCTCCCCTCGTGCTTCCTGCCCACAGGGATTTAGGCTGGGGCGGTCCTCCTGTCAGTCTTGTCTTTGCTGTGTGTGGCACGTTCACACTGACCTCTGCACATCACTGCAGCTGGGGTGAGCCTTTGCCTTTTCCCGTCTGATAGAAGTTTTGAGAGGAAGGTACTAGACCAGGACCCGACCTCAGTGCCGATCCCCATTGCCGGCCTAGACGACGCTTGGGTTTTCATTCCTTCGCACAGCTAACTTGCAGCTGCAGCGGGCCTGGAGACTCTTCCTGCCTCATTTCCGCCACTTTGGAGCTATGCTCCCCAACTGAGGCTTTTTAACCCGCCCTCCTGCAGGCAGGATGGAGGAGGGCAGGGCTCCCGCTGAGTTCCTAGGTTCGACGGATGTGATGCTCAGCTGCTTCACTGACCGCGTGCTTAACCATGGCAGGAAGCGCAGGGCCTTCCAGCTGGATTTCCCACCCAAGTTCTCTGTCTTGCGTTGTCTGTGTCCCTGTTGTGGGCAGGTTTCCAGGTGGTGACACCAGTGCCTCCCCTCCCCGCCGTGGGGGGGGGGTGCCCAAGCCCCCTGTCTTGGATTTGGGACGGCCTGTGGTGAATAATTTACTGTGTCAGGAGCGGGTACTCAGGTGGAAAAGGCTGAGCTGCCTCTGCCCGGCGCCCGGGATGCTGTGAGGAGCCCCCACCCACAGCCATTCTCACGGAGGTGCTCTGGTCCTGGTCAAGCCCAGCTTCGTGTCCCCCCATCCAGGCAGGGAGGGAGTCTTGGGTGGATCTGACCCCACGTCGGAGTCTTCTGAGCGGCGTCCAGCACTGTGCCTGCTGCCGTGGGGTGACGTGATTCGGAGCTGCCAGTGTTAAGCGTATCCAGGGCTGTCTCCTTGGGCTGCTCAGATTCCCCAGGCAACATACGTCTTCATCAGCCCTGGTGCCATACCAGCGAACCACAGGCGGGACGGCCGACGCCAAAGAAACTGAGCTGCTTGCGGTTCCGGCGGCCGGGAAGTCCGAGATCAGCTCTGGCTTGCCAGGGACACCTTCTCACCGTGTCCCCACATGGTGGACAGAGACAGTCCTCTCTCTTCCCCTTCTTATAAGGTCACAGTCCTTATGACCCCATTTAACCTTAATTACCTCCTAAAGGCCCTCTGTCCACATTGGGGAGTCACATTGGGGATCGGGGCCTCACCAGAGGAGTTTGGGGGAGGACACAGTTCACTCCAGGGCAACATGCTACCACCCTTTCCTGGAGGGTGACTGTCCCTGCATTTGGTGTTCTGGGGGCTGGGCTGGGGGCAGGAGGGGTCTCACGGTCCAGGATGCTTGGGTTCTTTCCGTGCCCCAAGTACAGGGGCCATGTCAGAGGAGGCGGGGGGTGGCTCCTTTCTCCTCCTAGGGCCTTGTGTTGGGTGAGGCTGGCATGGTGTCTTGGACGGGCTTTCCCGGCCCTAGTGGTGCTCTCTCCTAGCTGTCCTTCACTCTTGCTTCCAGAGGCAGCTGGTGCCCAAGCCTCCGGGTGTGGAGCGTCTCTTCTCACCTTTATTTGCCATTTTACCGGGAAGTTTACAACTGGTTCTTAAAAATTAAAAATAACAATTATAATTATATATGGTAGAAAATTAAAAAATACTCATGAGCAAATATTAAAGCAGGTTGGGTTGCTACCACCCGGACATTCCTGCAGCTAGCACCCTGGAGTAGGCCCTCCCAGGCACCCTTGCTCACATGCTGACACGCACATGTCTTTCTCTGAGCCTTTTTGTCATTCAGTACAGTGTGCGTAGAGAAAGCAATGTTTCCGGCCCCCCAAAGCCCCTGCACGCGCCCTTCCAGTCCCACAGACGAGATTGATCATACTGTGAGTGCTGCTTTGTGTTCTGGTTTTGTTTTCTGTTAATCAGGGATCTCCACTTTTCCATGTTGACACGTTTTCATCTCTTCTACTCTGTTTGTGCTCATCGTGGGTTCCTTGAGGTGGGCCCCTCTCTTGCTTTGGGAGGCCAGCTGCTGGGGACAGTGCCCTGAAGATTCTCAGAAGCCCTTTGGCTAGGCCTGGCCCAAAAACCTGGGGTTTGAACAGAGGACCATCTACCCCAGTCTTTGACTTGGTCTTTATCCTGAGGCCATTTCTTACTTTGAAATCTTTTGCCAGGTGGGAAATTGGGGACGTGAAGCAGTTGGACCCCCGTGTGCCCTGTAAATTCTGCACCCCACAAGATGACTGTCTCCCTTTTTCACACATCATTGTCTGCACTCTCAGAAGCTGGCTGTCGCTTTCTGCTTTCTGAGATTTTCCTTAGGAGAGCCACACACAAGTCCTTTAGGGTCTTTTCCACCTTCTCTGTGACTGTGGCTCACATTTTGCCAGTTTTTCCTCTGCTGTATGGCATGGGGTCCTTTCTCCAAGCCTGCTGCCGCCACTCCAGTCCTCGGCCTACCCCCACTCACCATCTCGGTGCTTTCTCCCAGGATTTTGTGATAGCAGCCCACTTCTGGGACAGTTTCTTTGTTAGGTTCCCTGCATGGCCGCCCCAAGCTCAGGGGCTCACTGCAGTGTGAGTTTGTTGTCTCCTAGGACCAGGCTGGCCGGCCTGTGGTTCTAGCCTGGGCCTGCGCTGCTGGGTCCCACCGGGTGGTCTAGCGTACCCTCACTCTAGTTGGGATGGCTGAAGCTCTCTGCTTAGGACTGCTTCCTGGCTGTCTTCATGGTGGAAGGTTCCAGCAGCAGGCGTCGGAGCTGCATCCCACTGCCCGTGTTGGTTGGTCATTTATGGAGGAAGGGAGAGGCTGCGTGTGCCGTGTCCCTGGGGAGGAGAGCCCACACTGGCAGTGGAGGCAGCTTTATCTTAAGGGACCTACAGATATTTCTCTTCTTTTTCTGGGAGAGGTTTTACCTACTATCCTACTAATTGGAAGCTGAGATTCACTTTTGCTGTTTGTTTAAAAAAAGGGTGTGGTGAAGAGGCCAGTTCACTGCTTTATGCCGATTTCTTTGGCTGGGTGTTCAAGGGAGAGCTTGGGAGGGTTCCTCATGTGCGAAAGCTCGCCAGGCCTGCCTCCCACCCACGGCTTTGCCACGGTGACGGGGAAGTGTGGCCAAGGCTCGGAAGAAGGTAGCATTTTGCAGATAGCAGCTTCTGCCAACATTTACTTTAAGTAAAGTGGATGTTTTTCAAATGAAATTTGAACAAATGCCAATTAATTGACTTCTGAGACCAGTGGGGGATACATTCCTGGTGTGCATGTGGTGGGCAGGCACAGAGGAGGGCGGTCTGTCCCCCATGTCTACCTTCCTGGACGGCCCTTTGGTCACAGTGGGGCCACAGCTGGGTTTCCCCGGGGTGGTCCCCGTGGATGGCTTGCTGCCTGTGTGCACATGACCTGTGGTGGGGCCGTGGCTCTGGCTCTCTCGGGTTGGTGCCACCCTGTGGCCCACTCCTGACTCCCTTTTCTTAGGGAGTCTCCTGTGTGAAGGGGCACGCTCCCTGCTTCATCATCGTCCTTTCCACTTCCCACGTCTGGCTGGGAAAGACACTTTCCCTTTGAGTTTGTGCGCCCTCATTGGAGAGCTCATGTTCTCACTCAATGCTTCTTCATGTAGGAGTCACTCCTAATGGGCCCCAAAGACCAGACTCCAAGTTGGCGTTTCTTGTCAGCTCTCATGTCTGACCTGGCTGGTGGTTGATTAAGGCCTGGGAGACTTGGAGAGTGGCCTTGCCTGGGCACCATTTATGGTGCTGTGGGTTTGGGGAGTTTGTGCTACGGGAGCGGTTGTCAGCAAGCAGGGGAGGCCCCACTGTGGGTGTTGCTCACCTGTGTCAGTTCAGGCCCTCCAGGGAGCAGGTAGAATTAGATGTGTCGTGTGCACACATGCAGCAAGCCATCCGCAGGGACCACCCCGGGGAAACCCAAGGAGGGTGCAGGGGAGACAGTCTGACCTTGTGGGAGGAAGGGGGGATGGGAGTGCTTGGGTGGGAAGAGCCTTGCACCCGACATGCTCTGAGAGGCCCGGCCAGGCCCTAGACACTGACAGACACCATGAGAGGGGCCACAGCTTGGGCAGTTTGCTGAGGGAGTGAGTGGCTGCCCATGAGCCATTCCTGACTGCTCCTTTGTGTGTGACCAAACCTCTTCCCACAGGGAAGTGCGTGACTGGCCCTCAGTGGCCGTGAGGGGGTACACCTGGGGAGTCCTGTCCAGGCCCCAGACCTGTTTCCCCCACGGTGCTTTGCAGGGGTGAGGGTACGTTATCTGTTGGGTTAGTCCCTAGAAGTGGGTGCACGCTGTCCACCTATACCACCTGCCTGCCAGGCCTGGAGATGTCTCGGCTTGAGTGCGCCGGACGTGGGTCAGGTCTCTGCCTTGGTCTTGGCCTGTTTTCCTCGGGGCTGTCCTGTCGATCTCAGGGCTCCTTAGGTAACATTGGAAACAAGCTGTCTTCCTTGTGCCGTATGCCTGTCCCCCAACTCTGTCTTTTAAAATAATTGTTTATGGGTTTTTTCCTCCCATACAGAAAGTTCTTGGGTTTTTTTATTATTTTATTTTATTCGTGTTTGGCTGGGTACAGTATACTTTATTGATGGTACGTGATGAAGTAGGGCTCTGCAACCCTTCCCCCTTTTCAGGGGGTCTAGGATGGAAACCGTGTGGAGGTCGGGAGATTTCTCAGTGTGTTGGGGGATGCGTTGGGCAAGGGCTCCCCAGCAGCTGAGGGCCTCTCTCTTCCTCTGGCTGGGGCTCATGGTCCAGGGGCTCTTACTCCTTGGAGGCCACTCGGTTGCTGTGGTCAAACTCATTGTCGTACCAGGAAAGGGGCTTCACAGAGTGGTCACTGAGAGCAGTGCCAGCCCCGGCATTGAAGGAGGAAGAGTGGATGTCACTGTTACAGTCGCAGGAGACAATCTGGTCCTCCGTGGAGCCCAGGGTGCCCTTGAGGGGGCCTTCCAATGCCTGCTTCACCACCTTCTTGAGGTCATCGTATTTGGCAGCTTTCTGCAGGTGGCGGGTCAGATCCATGGCTAACATGTTCGGGGTGGAGACGTGGAAGGGCCACACCAGTGAGCTTCCCATTCAGCTCAGGGACGACCTTGGCTGTAGCCTTGGTGGTGCCAGAAGAAACAAGGATGATGTTCTGGGCAGCCCCTCGGCCCCCATGCCACAGCTTCCCAGAGGGACTGTCCATGGTGTTCTGGGTGGCACTGATGGCATGCGCTGTGGCCACGAGTCCATCCACGGTGCTCCAGCTGTGTCATGGATGACCTTGGCCAAAGGGTCAAGCAGTTGGTGGTGCAGGGGGCATTGCTGACAGTCTTGAGGGAGTTACCCTACTTCTCATGATTCATGCCCATCACAAACATGGGGGCGGCATGACCCTCTCGGCCTCACCTTAAAGGGAGCCCCAGCTTTCTCCATGGTGGTGAAGACCCCAGTGGACTCCATAGTGCACTCAGCACCAGCATCACCCCATTTGATGTTGGCGGGGTCTTGCTCCTAGAAGAAGGAGGTGGGCTTTCCATTGACGACAAATCTCCTGTTCTCAGCCTTGCCTGTGCCGTGGGGTCATACTGGAACACACAGATCATGTAGTTGAAGTCAGTGAAGGGGCGACAGTATCCGCTTTGCCAGAGCTGGAAGCAGCCCTGGTGACCAGGTGTCCAATATGGCCAAATCCGTTTACTCTGACCTTCACCATCCTGTCTCGGGGACACAACTGGGACTGCATCAGAAGATGCGGCTCTCGGGACGCCTGGGTGGCTCAGTCGTTAAGCGTCTGCCTTCGGCTCAGGTCATGATCCCAGGGTCCTGGGATCGAGCCCCGCAGAGCGGGGAGCCTGCTTCTCCCTCTCCCACTCCCCCTGCTTGTGTTCCCTCTCTCGCTGTGTCTCTCTCTGTCAAATAAAAAAAAAAAAAAAAGATGCAGCTCTCTTTCAAACGGGGGGAGCAGAGAGACTTATTTTTGTTTTTTTTTAAGGGAAATTTATCATCTCTTTTATTTCTGGGTTTCATATTATTTTTTGAGAGAGAGCACACACCACATGCACAGACAGGTGGGGGCTCGGGGCAGAGAGAGAGGGAAGTCCTCAAGCAGACTCCATGCTGAACACAGAGCCCGACATGGGGCTCGATCCCACGACCCTGAGATCATGACCTGAGTTGAAATCAAGAGTTGGACACTTAACTGACTGAGCCACCCAGACACCCTGGGTTTTGTATTATTTAAGAAAACCTTTTACCACTTCAAAACTATTAAAAATTTTTTCTTTTTTCCTCCTTTTAACACTTTTATGGTTTAATTTTTACCTTTACATTTGACTTGTATGTAATTTGTTTTGATACGAGGTTAGCCCATGGGTGATTTTTTTTCCCCTAACATTTTATATTTTTTGATAGTTCTATAATCATCTGAAATCATTGTAATAGAAATAAAAAACTTTATTATTTTTTAAATTTTTTAAGTTTTAGGACACAGGCATGTGAGCAGGATGGGGAGAGGGGCAGAGGGAGAGAGAATCCCAAGCAGGCTCCATGCTCAGTGCAGAGCCTGATGTGGGGCTCGATCTCCCCACCCTGAGATCATGACCTGAGCCGAAATCAAGAGTCAGATACTTCACTGACTGAGCCACCCAGGTGCCCCGAAATAAAAAAAATTTATTAAAGAAGGAGGGGGCGCCTGGGTGGCTCAGTCAGTGAAGCGTCTGCCTTCCGCTCAGGTCATGATCCCAGGGTCTGGGATCGAACCCTGCGTCGGGCTCCCTGCTCGGCGGAGAGTCTGTTTCTCCCTCTGCCTCTGCCCCTGCTCATGTGTGTTCCCCCCACCTCAAATAAGTAAAATCTTAGAAAAGAAGAAGGGGTTTAAAAGTCCCACGTGAGTGTCTTTGCATAGATGTGTCCTGCTGGCTGCACACGACAGGGGCCATGGGCACTGGGGACGCTCAGGGAATCGCCCACTAGGAGCAGCAGTGCACTGTCCCCACAAGGTCCCTGACCTGCACAGCCACCGCTGGGACCCTGGTGCACAGCAGGAGAGGGGGCGTTCTGGCAGGCTGGTGTGCTGGGCTCATGTGGGCAGGGCGAGCTGATGTCTTCCTCCCTTAGGGGCGAGCTGGCGGAGGACAGCATGGAGACGGAAAATGCAGCAGCGGCCGCGGCGGCTGCTTTCACAGCGTCCTCACAGCTCAAGGAGGCCGTGTTAGGTAGGGAGCCTGCCTCCCCTCTCCATGCCCCTGCAGGGTGGGCCTCCAGGAAGGAGGGGTCACCCGCTGGCTCAGGCCCCAGGGTCGTCCGGGAAGGCCCGGCTGGAGTCCACGGGGGGGGGGGGGGGGGAGCCGCTCTGCCTTTCCCCGTGGGGAGCCAACCAGTGGTTGTAAAACCGTCAGTGCTGGCTAACGGCCTCAGGACCCCTCAGAACAGCGAGAACAAGCTTCTCTAGAACCATCCCAAGGAAAGCTTGATTTCATTTCCTTAAGTGGTTCTTCCCTTGAACCACAGCTTAACGTGATTATGGTAGCACTACTATCGTAAAATTGATTTTGTGACTTTCCCCGAACCTCTAACCTGGGACCGATGAGCTCTGGCCCGGCCCGTTCTTGGATCTTAGTTTCTGGTTGGCAGCTATGTCGTGCTTTCGCAGGAAGTACTTTGGTTGTAACTGGTTTTGTTTTTACCCTCCTCCTGTCACACACCTTGTGAGAAGTGAAGGTGGCTGAAGAAGAGGAGAGCCTGGAGGCTGAAATCGTGTACCCCATCACCTGCGGAGACAGCAGAGCCAACCTGATTTGGAGAAAGTTTGTGTGCCCGGGCATCAATGTGAAGTGTGTCCAGGTGAGGCTCCAGCACAGCACCGACGTGTGCCCGGCTGCATCGCAGGGAGGCCCTCGTGGCACGGCAGCCTTGAGGCAAGCCTGGCGGGGGGGTGGTGCAGAAGGCAGGGGTTGCATGTGCCTGGGAGGAGAGAGGAGAAGGGGGTAAGCCTTCAAGGGTGGACAGGATTGTTGCTGATGGCACAGGGGAAAGCGTCAGGAGGTAATGATTCCTTGTTTCTGGAGTGTAGCTCTGGGGAGAGGCTGGGAAGTCACCCTGTTCATGCTGGGGCAGCCATAGCCACCGAGCCGGGAGCCGCTTTTTTTGGTAGATTGAATGAGGTGTGTGCTTTGGAAAGACTCATTTAGTAGCCATGAGTAAGGTGAATGGGAGAGGTGTTCTCTTTCTGCCAAGGTAGATTAAGTACCCAAGACTCACCTTGTGCTGAAAGTAGCCAAAATTGATGGTTAAGATACTTTCCGAAAGCATCTTCTAGGTGCCTCCATAAGTTGGCAAAAATGGTTGAAATACTCAAGCTGAGGGCCCGAGTAAAGGTGGGCTGTGGAGGAGGCTGAGCACCACATCCAGCTTTGGCTTGCAGAGCCTTTGCCTGCCACCGGCTTTCTCCGCCTTGCAGAGCTGGAGTTGAGAAGGTGCAGCCCAGGGCTTCCCTGAGCTGTGTCCTTGGAGGCAGGGATTATCCCCCATAATGCTCTTACTTGTAAAGGTCTGTCCCCTCAGTGTCAGGGTGGACCACTAACAACACGCTTCCAGCCCCACTCTGTCCCCTGGGACAGGGAGCCTCCTGCCGCCGATCTGAACACTGAGGGGAAGAGGGACCCTCTTGAGGAGCATTCGCGTGGGAGTTGTACGGTCGGAAAATCGTGTTTAGTTATAAGTGGTTCCTGGCTGGTAGTTCCCCCAGGAATCTGACCGAAGCATATGGAGGAACTCCTCTTTATCAGAGGTTCTGAGTGATGTCAACAGACAGGGTTCCAAGGAAGAAGCAGCTCATTGTAAAGCAAACAGAAACACTGAGTGTGGGAGGAGACTGCACACAGACCACAGAGAGAATGAGACTCACAGTGCTTCAGGCCTTGGGATTTTGAGACCGGGAATATAAAATAATTATGTTTAATTTATCTCAATAAAAGAGAGGCTTGACATGAGAAAAACATAAACATATTCAGAAAAACAAAGTAGGAATGAAAAATAGAATTAAAATAGAACACTTAGTGGCTAGGTTTTGTAGCAGATTAGACACAGTCGAAGAAATAATTTATGAACTGGAAGGTAGGAGTAAAGAAGTTATCCAGGGATTCCTGGGTGGCTCAGTCGTTAAGCGTCTGCCTTTGGCTCAGGTTGTGATCCCAGGGTCCTGGGATCGAGCCCCACGTTGGGCTCCCTGCTTGGTGGGAAGCCTGCTTTTCTCTCTGCCACTCCCCCTGCTTGTGTTCCTGCTCTCACTGTCTCTCTCTCTCTGTCAAATAAATAAATAAAATCTTAAAAAAAAAAGAAGTTATTCAGAACATAATCCACAGAAATAAAAAGGGGATAGAGGCTTGAGAAAGGCTAACGCATCAGTGAGTTCTGGAAGGAGAGAAGAAGGGTCTGAGAAAGTTTATAATGGAGGGAAGATAACCGTGCACAGTTCAAGACATCCACCAAATTCCAAACTGAGTGAGTACAAGAAACCAACCACGTTTTAAACAACTTTGGGAGGCAGCTCGAAGGACTGGTTCCATCCGGAACAGTTTAACACTGAAATAATTAACGATAGTCGGGATTATAACTCAAGTGCAATAAGAGTCCACAGGTCTTTGTTTATCGCTGTGTGTTTCATGGTGTTTATATCAAATAGAAGTAAAGCTTTTATGTTGGAATGCCAGCTAGTAGACGTGGGAGGGGTGAGGGAGCCTGGGCTCCAAGACTCTACCAAAACTGGCTGCTGAGAGCTAGTGGGGAGCAAGGTGTGCGCCAGTCTCAAAATATCCCCCGTCCATTTGGTGTTAATTGTAGAGGGAAGACAGCACCTCTGCAGGGGAAGCCTGGCAGGGGGCTCCTTAACTAAGTGATGACATTAGTGTTAGGACAGACTTCCATCATGGGTCCCCTGATTGAATGGGTGGGAGATCTGTGGCCGTCCTGCCAGAAAGGCCTAGCCTGACTCTCGTCGTGAGAAGGCAGGAGGGACAACCAACAAGAAATTTGCTTGGGAGCTTCAGAAACGACAAGGTCAGGAAGACGAAGGTGGACTGTTCAGGGAGCAGGTGTGGTGTGCGGTCTGGGCTGGGTCCTGCTCTGGAGATGGATTGCTGCAGAGCTGTTCTTGGGGCAGTTCGTGAACTCTGCATATTGCCCATTGATTAGGTAGTACACCTTAATGGGGATTGCCTGAACTCGAGAGTTGTGGTTGCGTAGCAGAACCTTTTCCTCAGGAAATAGATACCGAGTGTGGAGGACGGGGTCTGAGTCTGCAGTTGTCTCTCAGTGGTGTGGAGCAGTCGACGGGGAAGCAGGGAGCAGAAGGGCCCCGGGCAGGCAGTTGGGGAGCTAGTCTTCCACTTATTCTGTAAGTTCGAAATAATAACGAAATAAAGAGTGAGAAACAAAAACAGGTTTCCCACAGACAGCATCCTAATGGAACTGTGAGAAGCAGAGAAGGCCCCACATAGCCGACAGCTCCTCAGGAGCAGGGGACCCGCTGATGGCGGGGTTCCCGAAAGTGCCATAGCAGCCAGAGGGCGAAGGAGCTGTGTCCCGTGCTGAGGGAGAAGGGTTGCACACAACGAAGTCTTCTTTCCAATCGAGGGGGAATGCAGACGTTTCAGACAGAACTGCGTTGGCCATGAGCAAGTCCTCGCTGAAGGGTGTTCGAGGAAGTGTATTTCAGGCGGAGGGAAAGCGATTCCAGGTAGGAAGTTTTTAGGTCCAGGAGGCGTGCGGAGTGAAGGAAGTGGAAATGTGTGGGTGAGCCCACAGCTTTGACAACATGTCTTAGGAAGAGTCCAAACCAGATAAAACCTGTGGCACCTGGCCATGGGGTCACTTAGCTCTGGACTCTGACAGCCCAGGTAGGCACAGCACCCAGCCTGAGAGTAGAGTATGACGCGCCAACTACTAAGCAAACTCCGGAACTCCGAGAGTGGTGGTCAGCCCAGATGGTGGCAGGAAGGGAGGGAAGGCAGCATGTGCCGACAGAAGTGGAGTGAAGTGTGAGACTTGGGAGAGATGGATCCGTGGGGTGTAGCTGGGGTGGGCCAGGGACTGTGCCCCAGATGGTGTCACACCCAGGGGGAGGGGGAGAGAGGCTGTCATCCTGGGGGAGGGGCAGAAATGGTGTCATGCCTCGTGGGGATGGGGAGAGATGATGTCATGTCTGGGCGAGTGGGGAGGTGTTGTGCTTCCGCTGCTTGGGCTCACAGCCCATCTCCCCGACCAGCTGAGCGAGGGGTCGAGTGGCTTCCTGGACTCGGTGAGAGCATGTGTGTGGGTGCTCGGGACATTAGGAAGACGACTCCCACCGGCAGGGACCCCCAGCTGCTTGCACTTGCTGTGACCTGAGTCTGCTGGAGTTAGCAGTGCTTAGCGCTGTGTGCTCCAAGCAGGACACGCTGGAGGACCCCAGCCAGACCTGAGCCCAGACAGCGGGGGGGCGCATCCTGGGAGGGGAGGCTCAGCGGCACCTCTGTCTCCCCCTCTGCTGAGACCTGGTGACTCATCTGTCTCCTGCCTGCTTGTTTCCTAAGTAAATGCAGTTTTATTTTGATTCTTCAGTTCCAGTAATGACTTGTTTAACACAATTGAATAGGGTATTTTAGCTTCTCAAGCCATCTGAGCTCCAACATTGAGTGAAACTGGCCCCCAAACCCTGACATTGAAATGGATATGTGTGCACTGGTGTACGAGATGCGTGCTGTGAGGGTGTGTTAGGGGTGTGTTGGGGTGGGTGAAGGGGACAAATCACAGCTTACCCTACACACTGTCTCGGGTTATTTTGATGTCACGTATGTAGGTGTTATTAATGGAGTAAGTCACGCATAAGTGGGTTTGCTGAGTCCCATCTGGAGGGAGAGAGTGCCTTTCTGAACGCTGTGGTCACCTCCGCTCTCCCTGGCTCAGGCACACCATCTGTTTCTCTGGCCTCCCTCCCTGGGCTTGGGGGCAGTGCTGGCCACAGGCTGCTGGCAGCAGGAAGCCATCCCCCCACCCCAGCCCCTGTGCAGGACGGCCGTGTCTTGTGTTACCTGAACTGTTCCTTTCCCCCAGTGATGGTTGCAGCTGGTTGGATCTGAAATGTCAGACCAAGAGCGAGCCTGTCGCTGTTGGCCGCCCCACACCCCTCTCCCTGGCTGGGCTCTGGCAAACGGTCAGGCAGGAGAGGTGGGTCACAGAGGGCCGTCCCGACCCAGCTCTGCTGTGCTTCCCTCCACAGTATGATGAGCATGTGATCAGCCCAAAGGAGTTTGTGCACCTGGCCGGCAAGTCTACCCTGAAGGACTGGAAGAGGGCCATCCGCATGAATGGCATCATGCTCAGGTGGGTGCCTGCGTGCACAGCGAACCCTCTGTGGTAGAGTCAAGTGACCATGCCAGGCGTCCTTCCATTGCTTTTTCATTTGTTGTTAAGTTTTTTTTTTTTTTTTTTTAAGATTTTATTTATTTGACAGAGACACAGAGAGGGAACACAAGCAGGGGGAGTGGGAGAGGGAGAAGCAGGCTTCCCACGGAGCAGGGAGCCCAATGTGGGGCTTGATCCCAGGACCCTGGGATCATGACCCGAGCCGAAGGCAGACGCTTAACCACTGAGCCACCCAGGCGCCCCCGTTGTTGAGTTTTTCAAGATGAGGCCCATTCTAAACACGAGCACTGACAGCATCCCGGGAATGGCTTCCGCCCACAGCCCTGCGGCGTGCGACACCATCAGATCATCAGATTTGTGGGACTTTGTTGTCCTCGCTCGGCCTCCCTGTGCATCCCCGTGTTAGAGAATGTGCTCCTGCATCTCCCACCACAGCCACTGAACCCTGGAGTGCCTGGGCACGGGCACAGGTCTCAAACCTGGGGTGCGTGTCCGTCTGGCCATCTGTCCCTTTCTGGCATGGCCCATCTGCCTGGTGAGGGTCCCATCCCAACCACATCTGTGTTCAGTGGCCGTGCTTCTGTCTCTTGGACCTTCTCTCCACCTAGTTGCTTTCAGGATACAGGCCAGTGGGTTTCTAGAGGGTCTTCGTCCAGATCCCTGACCTTACCTGTCATGAGATCAGGTGGTGCTGGGTTGGCGCCCCGTCTCTGGCTCTTGATGGTGGTGTGCTCTTGGTTGGGTGCCCACTTGCTCCTCACAGACCTCCCTTTCCCTTTGACATTAATCAGGAATTTGTAGGAAGTTTTGGGCTAGCTCTCAGCTCCTTCGCCGATACCAAATCCCAGAAGAGAGACAATCGGAGTTTGTGCCTCCGTCTCTCCGTTGGCCGTGCCAGCAACCCAAGGGTCCTGTCGCTTGTTTTTCGTGGGCCGGTTCTCAGGCTGGTGGGAAGGCCAGCATCCGCTCTGCTAGCCACCCTATGTGTGTGTCCCTGATGGCCTTCTGTCCCTTTTCCCGTCACCTGTGAAACAAATGGTAATGCCCCTTCTGGGAAGCCTGAGGACAGACGAGGCTTTCAGTTTGTACGCCCAGAATGTTGATTCCCGATCTTCATGTTTTCACATTCCTGCTTTGGTGGTGACAGCTCACCCCTCCTGATGAGGCAGAGGGCACCTCTGCCTGTCAGCCCCCACCCCTCCATGTGCTCACTCCACGGCCCCTCCTGCATGCTGGTCCAGAGATAGCTGCTGTTTGCGTGCTGTTTTCGGGAGAAGCGGCTTCATGCTGTTCTTGGGCTTGGGTTTGCTGCCAGGGGAGTGTGTGACCCTTGGTGAGTCCTGGATCACGGCCCCGTTCACTGTCCCTCTGAGCCACAGTCTGGGCCTGAGATGGGCAGATGCCCACAGCCAGAGACCCAGCCAACACTGCTACACCTGTGTTCTTGGGGTGTGCCTGCCGCTTGGCGCCCCACAGTTGGCCCTGCATCCCATCCTGCAGTGCTCAGGGCTCCTCTCTAAGCCCCACCCATGAAGCAGGCCCCTGACTTTCTAGAAAGTATCTTGGTGGCCTAGCTGTGAGAAGGCAACTGCCGTTTCCTTGGAAGAGCGCTGCGGGGGAGGGGCACCGTGGGTAAGCTGCATATCCTGAGGTCAGCACAGGTACACTGCAGAGGCCCAGCAACGTGGAGGTCATGGGTGGAGGGGGGTGAGTTGAGACGTCCACAGAGTGAAACCCAGGCTCTCCAGAGGGGCTGTAGTAAAGGCCCACCCTGGGAGGCCTGTCCTGGCAGGTGGGGGACGTGCTATGCCGTCCTGATCAAGGCGGGGATGGGAAGCGAGCCACCTTGAGTGCAGAGCGAGAAGCCAGAGGCGCCACCACTGTCCTGTTTTGCTGTGTGTGCAGAGAGCCAGGCTGCTCCTGGAGGGTTTCTCGTCCCCCTCTGCCTCACAGTCTCCTTGTGGGGGCGCCCTCAGCCACTTCTGTTAGCCGTGGGCCTGCTCCCCCTGGGCCGGCAGGTGGCAGAACATCCCCGGAGGGCCCTCTGGGATGACTTCCTGCTAGCGTCCTCATCTCTCCTTCTGGGTGCCAGCCACTGTGGTCGCGGTCCCCACGGACTTCCCACTTGTGCTGGAAGATCACTGGCCCAGAGTGTTGGCTGGGGTCATTGCAGAGGCCTGTCTGGAGCCTCCATGGCACCCACCTCCTGCCCTGCGGTTAGCCACTCTGCAGCCGCCACCTCCCTGCCTGGCCATCAGGACCTGAGGACACTCGAGGGTGGGGGACGGGAGGGGAGCGAGGTGCCTTGGGGGCCAGCCGTGCACACCTGTGCCTGGATGTGTCCTCCGTCTCTGGTCTCCTCTGCCACAGGAAGATCATGGACTCCGGGGAGCTGGACTTTTATCAGCACGATAAGGTCTGCTCCAACACCTGCCGCAGCACCAAGATCGACCTCTCAGGCGCCCGCGTGTCCCTGAGCAGCCCCACCTCGGCCGAGTACATTCCACTCACGCCTGCCACGGCTGACGGTACGTGCTGGCTCGGAGCCCTTGCTCTTGCTGGTGGCTTGACCCAGTCCCACTTCACCTGCGGCCACGGAGGTGGGCCTCTGCACGGCCACTCGTGGGCAGCCTGGCCTCCCTTCTGGGTCTGCGGTGTTCTGCAGCCACCTCCTTCCTCACTGAGGGAGTCTAGCTGGATTGCTGTTTTCATCGACAGCATGCTGGGGGGATGGTAAATGCCAGCCAGGAGAAGAGTGTGACGTTGGGGACTGTTGAAGCTGGTGGTTGGGTCAGGGAGACTTAGTTCTTTCTCCTTTGTGTGTATTTGAAGATGTCTGTGATTAAGAAGTTTAAAAAAAATAGAGGTACCACAGCAGCAAGTAAATCCCTTGGTTGCACTGGTACATGTGTTTGTGGATCTTGTGAATATTGGTGCAAAGGAGAGCTTTAGAGCTTGTGTTTGGATGGCGGGTTGAGAGGGTCACTCACTGGCTGGCGAGGTTCATGGTGGCCCTGTCTGGGTTGCAGTGAATGGGTCTCCCGCTACCATCACCATAGAGACCTGCGAGGATCCCGGTGACTGGACCACGGCCATCGGAGGTACGGGTTCTTCCGGGTGGGCTCCTTGTGGGCAGGAGGCAGGACGTGCTGGGCAGCCCTGGGAGGGGTGAGGGGCCTCCTGGAGGAAGTGCCAGTGCAGAGGGTGAGCTCTGCCTGGGCCCAGGCCCCCGTCTGGAGCTGTGTGCACTGGCCCGCGGGTCCGGGCCCCCGGGCACTCTCTGCTCCTGCCTGTGGCGAGAAGCCCGCTGTGCCTGCTCTGTGGATTCTTCCTGCTCTCTGACCTGCTCCGCCTCTTACAGATGACACCTTTTCCTTCTGGCGAGGGCTCAAGGACGCGGGTCTGCTGGATGAGGTCATACAGGAGTTCCACCAGGAGCTGATGGAGACCATGAAGGGCCTGCAGCAGCGGGTCCAGGACCCTCCCCTGCAGCTCCGAGGTGAGGGGCTCAATGTCTGCCTGGCATCGGTGGGCACCGCCCCCCCAGGCTCCTTCCTGCTCTATGCAGGGGCAGGGGTGCTTGGGTGCTCCCCACCGCCCTGCCGCGCCTTTGGGATGAAGCCAGGTCGTAGGCCCAGCTGTGCTGTGGCTGAGCTTCTGGTGGCAGAAGAGGGCCATGCAGAGGCCGTACGCCTCCTGGGGTCTCACTGTGTCTCTGGGGGAACTTCTCTGCCTGGGGGGGCGCCATTCTCACTGTGTGCTCGCCCCTTGAAGATGCTGTCCTCCTCAACAACATCGTGCAGAACTTCGGCATGCTGGACCTGGTTAAGAAGGTGCTGGCCAGCCACAAGTGCCAGATGGACCGCTCGCGGGAGCAGTACGCCCGAGACCTGGCAGGTACGTCTGGTGGCCAGGGCCCGTCCCTGCTCACGGCCCCCTGGACACTGCTCCTGAGAGAGCCCTGGCAGCAGAGTCTGGAGTCGGGAAGGACCAGGAGAGCCTAGCGCTGTCACGCAGGGAAGCTGGGAAGCCATGACGTGGGGCCTAGGCAGCCCGCCCATGGGTCCTGAGTGTGGAACTCCCTGCAGTGGTTTACAGGAGAAAAGTGGGAGAGGTGACCAGGAGCTGGTGTGGCCCCCAGAGTCACCTTTGGGACATTTGTGTTTTTCTTTCTGGGCACCCCCTCGGCATCCATACTCGCAGGGTGCGTGTGTGCAGCAGGTGCCTACATGTGTGGTTTGACCTACTTTTTATCTTACCACGAGAGGAACTTTTCTGCAGCGATTAGGAGGATTGGAAAGTTAGAATGGGGAAGGTCTGTGCCCTCGTCTGGCAGCTTGGAGACCGCCTTTGAGATGGCACTTCTGCTTCCTTGGAGGGGCGGTCCACACAGGCCCCCAGAGAATCACTGTGGGGGACGGGGTGTGGGACAGGGACAGACTGTCACTGCTGTGCCGGCACGGGCCCCGCGTCAGGGGGCGTGGGGTCTGACGCTCTCTGTCCCCTCCCCATCCCCGCGGTGACGCTCTGCCCCCCGTCCCCCCCACAGCCCTGGAGCAGCAGTGTGATGAGCACCGCCGTCGGGCCAAGGAGCTCAAGCACAAATCTCAGCACCTCAGCAACGTGCTCATGACGCTGACGCCTGTCTCCCTGCCGCCCCCCACGAAGCGGCCCCGGCTGGCAAGGGCCACGTCCGGGCCGGCTGCCATAGCCTCGCAGGTGCTCACCCAGTCTGCCCAGATCGCCCTCAGCCCCGGCGTGCCCGTCTCCCAGCTGACTGGCGTGCCGCTCGGCAAAGTGGTGTCCACCCTGCCCTCCCCGGTGCTGGGCAAGGGCCCCCCCCAGGCTGCTCCTGCCAGCTCCCCTGCCTCACCACTGCTGGGGGGCTACACGGTGCTGGCCTCGTCGGGCGCCACCTTCCCTGGCACGGTGGAGATCCACCCGGACGCGTCCAGCCTCACGGTCCTGAGCACGGCCGCCATGCAGGACGGCAGCACTGTGGTCAAGGTGGTGAGTCCCCTGCAGCTGCTCACCTTGCCAGGCCTGGGCCCTACCCTACAGAACGTGGCCCAGGTGTCACCTGGTGGCAGCACCATCGTGACAGTGCCCACGGGAGCCGTCGAGAGCACCATGGCCGCCTCAGGGCCCGAGGAGCACGCAGCCACCATCGAGGTGGCCGCCATGGCGGAGGGCCATGAGCACAAGTAGACGCTGGTGGAGGGCGAGGCCCCTCGTGGGCACAGGGCTGGCCGCCTCTCCTCAAACCGCGCTGGGCGGGAGCACATAGCCCCGGCGCCCCGCGGGTCACGTTGGGCTGAACCAAAGAGCGGAAACACCAAAACAGACGAGGAGCAAAAGGGATCTCAGACGACAGACCTGTGCAGCCAGCCTCGCACTTGCACTTCCTCCCCCTTTTTTCTTAGGAAATACATTTTTCCATCTGTTGCTTATTGATACTGTTTACACGTTGGGCCTGATCAGGAGCCAGGCAGAGAGGACGAGGAGGCAGAGCCGGGGAGCGGGGCCCGGACCCCGTGGGTGCGAGGGGCCCTGGGGGGGCCTGAGCCGGCTGGGGGAGGGGGGTCGCTAACACATGTCTTGGGAACCGTCCCCAAGTGTGGAAACCCATGGATCCTATGGATTTGGTTTCTTCCCACAGTTTTCTGTAGGTTTAGTGTGGCCCGGCACCCTGTTCTCCCATCTCTGGAACAGGCCTCGGTGCTGCCGCTGGTCCACACGCGGCTCTGGGCTGGGGCTCCCGGGCACACGGGGGTTGGAGTGCAGCCCCCAGGGCACCCGCCTGAGCAGAGGGCCAGGGGGCCCCAGCAGCATGAGTTTGCCGTCTGCCCAGCCCCCTCCACCCGGCAGGGGCTGTTGCACATGCACCGTGGGTGTCTTTAAGTGAATTGTTTAGTAGGCTTCTAGGAAGAGTCAGATTTATAGCTTTTTCAACCTAAGCAACGCTGAGTGCCTAGGCTCCCCGAATTTGCTCTGGGTTCCAGAGTTCTTTGTACAAGCAGTTGTCAGGATGGCCCGCAGGGGACTGTGTGTGCTGGTGGTTCCTTCTGCTCTGGCTGTGAGCTCTTGGCACCGGCAGGCCACCCAGGGGAGTGTGACGGTGGGTGTGCCCCTCAGGCTTTGGTTCCGGGGTTAGGGGGTGAACAGAACAAGCCAGGAACTGAGGAGGATCTGCATGGGCCGTGGGCTCATTGTCAACCCTGTGCTCAGCCTGTTGGCGGGGCCATCATAACAGCCTTAGCACTTAGTCCCCCGAACTCCCCATGCCCCCTACCCGGAGGTGGAGGTGTATATGGGGTGACGGCCCGGTAGCCTGGGCAAGGGCCAGTCAGGGGGGGGGCCGGGATGCTCACTGGCAGGGCCATCCGTGGGCCACGTGCAGCTCTGAGTTTGGACACAGGAGGGAGAATAGGCAGGGGTCCCCTGAAGGCCTGAAGCCATCTCCAGCAGGGCCCCAAGGCCCGTCCGTGCCCCTGAGTGGCAGGCTCCCTCAGACCTGCCAGTTCTGTTGCTTGCTGAACACCCTTCTCTGGGAGAAGGGGAGGGGGCTCCAGAGACAAAATGCTGCCCCACTTTGTGCTTTGAAGGGAACTGGGTTCCGTGTGTCCGTCCTTCCATACGTCAGGTGCCCCAGACCTACCGGAGCGGG